AGGCCTCTCTCATCTTTTTAAGTGGGAGAACTTGCACAATTGGTGGCTGACTAAATACTTTTTTGCCCCACTGTACAAATAAAGGACTGAACTACAGATACAGTGCTGAAGTTTGGAAAAATTATGGTTCACTTAATTTTTAATACGAATGAGATTCCCTATAAAGGTATTAGGATGGGGTTGGGGGAATAAAAAAGGATTTTCATTTTTGTTGCAAAATGAAAGTTCTCCTCAAAAAAGAAAATGGATTTCCTTGGAAAGAAAAAGAAGTCACCCAAAGATTTGAGTAAGTGAAAAGGAATTACAGAGTTTGTGTTTTAGCTGTTATAAAAAAAGGGCACTTCAAGAATAAATGTCCTTATAAGAAGACTAATGCAGATAACAAACTTGTACCAAAAGTTAAAGAATTGTATAAGGTGAAAGAAGGAACAAATATACTTGTGTTTGTAGAATAACTGACAGACAAAAAATTAATTAAAAAATTAGACAAACAGTTGTGGTAAAAGATGCTATTATTTCAGGGATAGTAAATACTGGTTCAACTGTGTCCACAATAAAGGAAGACTAAATATCTAATCAACGATTTGTTTCAGGGAGGCAGAAGGTACATTTTCTAGGAAGAACACTGCAATCTTAACTTGGAAATTTTTGCATTCCTCAAATATGATGTGTCTGCTCACTAACTGCATCCAGAAATGGATGACAGTGCTATGCAAGTAGAAAAATAAAAATATGTGAAGGGCTTATAAATAATTATTCTGTTTTAATGTGTAATATTAAAAATGTTATGACCAGAAGCCAGCAAAACATTGTTTTAATGTAGAAATCTGTACATCAGTTATTATCAGCTATTATTATTATTATTATTATTATTATTATTATTATTATTATTACTACTACTACTACTACTACTACTACTACTTGTATGCCACCCGACTCTTGATGACTCTGGCCAGCTCACAAAGAAATTTCAATGAAACATAAAAAAATAAAGATAAAAGATGGGAAGTACGATGAAGCGAGGGGTGTCACTCTCCCACGCCAAAGGCCTGGGTGAAGAGCCAGGTCTTTACGGCTCTTCTAAATAACAGCAGGTTGGAGGCCATCCTGATCTTAGGGGAGGGACCTCGTTCCAGAGGGCAGGTACTGCCTCAGAGAAAGAGCACTTCCAAAGTCCTGATAGATGACATTGTTTAAACAAAGGAATGCAGAATTTAATACTCTGGTCAGCTACAGTCAATTTAAAAAACTGTGAAAGATGCAAGTAGGGAGAGTTCATATTTGAAGGGTTGAGATCTAGAAGAATATTTGCAAGATAGTTGAAGCAGTTTTTAGTAAGTGGTTAAAAAGAAAGTTAAGTAAGGACAGAAGAAAAGACTTGGTGAATTCAGGAAATAGGAGAAATAAATACATGCAGTATTTGAAAAAAGTAACTTAAAATGATGTAAAGGTTTGTAAGTATCTTTGTTACTAAAAGTACACAGTAACAATACATATAAGAACTTCTGTTTGAATGTATCAAGGAAATAATTTACCTTTTAACTACAGATACCAAATCAGGGCTACAAACTTCAAGATGACCACTGGCAAAGAGTTCAGGGACTTCCACACCTCTTTGCCCATCTTGGGGTCATCCAGAGTTTTGCACCTCAGATCTGCTAGCCATGCTTTTAACCATTCACTCTGGTTGAAACAATAATCACTGCTTGTTTACTGAAGCTAGATTTTGGTATTCAGGTGTATAGAGCTCACATACAGGTACATTTCTGTACAAGTGGCAAGTGAGGGTCTGGTAACAGTTAACTACTACTAAATATAAAACTAAATACAAAGCTTCTCAAAACTTCAAAGCAAGAGGAAGGTTCTTGACAATGCTGATCCTGAAGAAGACAACTGAAAGCCAGTATTTATCCAACCTACAGGCATGTTTGTATACAGGGATTTGTGTCAGTTTCTGCTGTCTAAACTCTGAAAGTTTCCAAGCTGGTGTACTGGATAAGCTGATTCCTTTTATGTTTCCATAAATACAATTCGCAAAGACTTTATAAGATATTTAAACGAAGTTTACTGAAACTTACTATCATCTGCATCTATTTTGTCTTCATTTGCTGAAAGCTGAGAGTCATATTTAGACAGCTGTTTCTTGATTTCTAATTCATCATCATCATTTTTTTTCTGGCTCCGAAAAAAGAATACATTTAAGTAGTTAACATTTTGGCTATACCTCCTGAATGACACATACATCAACAGAATATAGAAAGTATCAATATAGAATGTAGAAAAGAAAAAAGTTGGAATACATGAGAAATCTCTTAAAAAATAGCAGATTGGTTAGCAAAAATACAATTCAGTTTTTTTGCAATTGCAGCATTGCATTTAGTTTTAAAACCTTACATCAGCTAAGACTTAAAGTTCACTATTAATCGCAAATACTTAAGGATGTATCAGTTTTTTCTTTTAAAAAAACCCTCTGTAATGGTGAAATCCATGTAAGTGATACCGAAAAGTAATATCCAATGAAAGTATTATTTTATAAATTGGCTATAAATATTATTTTCAAATATTTCAACAGAGGAAAATTAAGGGAAAAAAAATTCCTATGAAAACCAGTGGTTTCCTACCTTTTTTTTCTTATCCTTAAACTGTTTAATTAATGTGATCAAGTGCTCAACAAGAAACATAAAATATAGTCCTCCAAGGGCTGTGAGACCTTTCCATGTAGAATCCAAATAAGCACTTTCTTCTGAACTTTGGAAAACTAGATGCTTAAAAGGGAGATCTTTACTGTGTTCCATTAAAGATTTTTCATGATGATGATGGTGATTTCCATGAGACTGAATTTGGAGAGTAAAAAAAAATAGTTTAGATAACATTCTGTATAGAAGAAGATGAGATAGGATGAGTAGAGAAATAGCAAGGTCTGTCAGCTCCAGAGCTGTATATAAACAACAAAATAGAAAAGGTGAAAGTTGCATAACTTTATTGCAATCAGTGACCAGCCACAAGAAAACTGACAAAGGCCTTGACCACAAATACAGAAAACTGAGATGAAGCTAAATCAGTAAACTGTATAATTTCAGACTATAGATAAGAATATGGAAATAGATTAGACTAATGCTTCCTCGTATAAAAACTCCCTGCAAGAAAAATATAGCATATGGGGGGTGACGTGGGGGAAAGGAATTGTTGCATTGATTTGACTTACAGGAGATTGTTCACTTTCATTTAAAAAAAGAGTGATTCCTGTAGCAGAAAAATTTACAAAAAATTGACTATACCACCTCATACTATTCCAGGGATGAGATTTAAAATATTCAGAGGGCTGTGAAATTACACATTTAGCATAATAGTTACATTTACAAACTCAAAATCTTTTTTTTGCCAGCTATATTTCCAAATTATACAAAATGTATTACTTGCTTATTATTAGCCAAAATGTTACAAAGGTTCATCTGATCCTTAGAAGAGTTCTTTCCTTTAAATAGTCAACTATGATAGTAAACCTTTCAATCCCCTCAAACTGAATGACAATATAGAATAGCTTTGTATTATCCGACAAGTCTAACATAATTGGCAACATTAACTGTAAGTTCTTTCCAATGGTATTATTTTGGGAACCAATATCTGTACTGTATAACCAAGCATAGCTTAAACTAGTGCTCCAACTGGATTCAGGAAAATACAAGCTCATACAAGTGATATGTTGGTAGAAAAATATGTGATCAACATGCCAATGATCCTGGACACCAAATGTAAAGGCAAAAAGATGAAAGATCTCAAAAGTGTGGATTTTACAAACGCTCATATTCAATTTATTATTTAATGTCTCTCCTTGGTTTCCATACCACAAAAGCTTAGCCAAATAAATTCTGTGTTACTAGATCAGATTGCTACTGAATGCCCTTGTCACGTGTACAAACTGCAATGCTATAAACATCCCATGATGCTCTTCTCCCAAGAGTTTTTCTCTTCAACCAAAGCAGGAGGGGGTGATTTTTCTCCCACCAGAAGCTACTTTAGAGAATGGGGAAGGGAAGGGAAGGGAAGGGAAGGGAAGGGAAGGGAAGGGAAGGGAAGGG